CAGTATTCTTTTTGGGGTGAGTGACAGCAAATTGAAAAAAATCCAATTGATTCAAAATTCAGCGGCCAGATTAGTTAAAAAGATAAGGAACCAGAGCTTGGATCATATCACTCCAGTGTTAAAGGAATTGCATTGGCTGCCAATCAAACAAAGAATTTTATTCAAAGTGTTGTGCATAATTTTTAGAGCTTTTAAAGAAAACACACCTGGTTATATTGCACATCTTATTCAGTCATCTGAACCACGCAGGTTAACAAGAAACTCTTTTGAAAACAATTTTATACTCAATCACTGTGAAATAGACAGAAAATGCAACAAATTCTATGGAGACCGGGCTTTTACTGTTTATGCTCCAAAATTGTGGAACAAATTGCCTTTTAGTATCAGAGCTGAAAGTGACTATAATACTTTTAAAGCCTGTCTTAAAACTCATCTTTTTAAAGAATTTTATGGTTAGTGTTCCTTTAAACCTTTTAGTTGTATATCATTTATTAAGAGTGAGCTTGGGTTAATTTTAGTAGTATTTTAAAGTTATATCAATAAATTTTCTCTGTTTTCTTTAATTAATTAATTTTATCAGTAAATGTTAAAGTATTTTAGTATTGTTATTTTTAGACTTTTTAATTATTTGTAAAGTGCATTGATATGTAAAAATTGGAATGCGCTATATAAGAAATAAATATTATATTATTATTATTATTATTGAGGTCTGGGGTTAAAATAACACCAAGTAACTTAAAATTTTTGACCTTTTCTACACGTTCACCATCTATTTCCAATGTTGGTATTGTAAGATTACAGTTCTTGGAAAAATTTATGTCCATCTACATAGTCTTCCTTACATTAAGTTATATTTTTTGCTAGCCCCAGTCAGCCAATTGGTCTTTTGTTTGTGGTAGATGCGGTGTTTTGCCAAATTTGCAAATTTCGTAAACTATCTGCTACATGTCTTTCAAAATAGTTCCAGGTGATTCTTATTTAATTTTGTTATTTACAATTTATCACACAGTACTATAATAATATTTCAACATAATAACCGAAATTAATTATTCTTAGATTTGTAAATTCCAAAATACCTGAAATTAATTATTCCTTGACTCTGCTACCACCAACAGTCTTGATTCTTGATCTAAACGGCATACCGTCATTGTCAGTGTACTTAGTATTTTGTGTGAATTGTATCTATTGTAAGTACAGGAATGTCTTAACTATACCCCTTCTCTCTGCCACCACCAGCAGACCAGCAGGGTTAATAGTTAATGCTATGGGATATTTCAACCCATCATCCTCAGTGGCAACGTATTTGATAAATTGTCCTTGCGGACTTAGTGCTACAACCCTATTATTACGACCATCAGCTATGAAGATGTGGCCATAGCTGTCTGTGCACACTCCACTAGGACCACTCAGCTGGCCAACACCACTGCCTTCTGTACCATACTTGTACAACTGATCACCAGTAGGTGACAGCACATGTACACAGTTGCCCAAGTCTGATATCACAATGTTATTATTTGCCCTGTTCACTGTGATGAAAGTGGGGTATTCACACATAGTGAGTCGAATAGTGTTCAGGAGATGTCCACTGCCTGCGTGGAATGTGAGGATGGATTCTTTTTTCACATCAAAAACCATCACATGACCTTGTCTATTCAGTGTGATGCAACTTGGCTGCTCCAGTTGACCCTGACCCATGGTTGTCACCTGTTTACCTTTGGTGGAGTACACTTTGACGCATCTGTCACCCATTGATGTTATGTACATGTGACCAGTCTGTGACACAGCCACATCAAAAGGTGTCTTTATTTTTATGTCAAACATGAACTGACCTGCATGGGTGAATACTTTTGTTTTGTCATTTCTATAACCCGTAGCATATATATATTGCTCATCTGTGGCTAACCCCCATATGATAACATTTTCCTTATCATATTTCAGTTTAGCAGTGAAGGAATGTACACATTCTGCCTTCTCTAAAAAAACGGGAAGTTTTGGTGCTGTCACCTGACCTAACATGGCTTCTAGTCCGGCAATAGATATTTTACCTGGACTGTAAGATATCTGTGCAGGAGAGTCTGGTGTTGGGAGTGGTGTGTTCTCCATTGATATCAATCTCTCGGCCAAAGTTTTTGTATGAACCATGATATCAAAGTCAGTGCCATGTCCGACAAGTTGTTGGGTAAAGTCACAGGCACTCTGCAAGGAGGCCTGATGGAGTTCAAGGAAGTCCTTGCTTGCCTCGCTCTGCTTCTTTCTATCATCATAAGCAGAATTCACTTCTGATATCAGTGCATCTTTCCTCTCATTTATTAATGTACAGATAAGCTGTGCTTGCTTTTCAATGATGTTGGTAGTGGCTGTCCTGATAAGAGAGTCCTCATATTCTATGGTTGTTTCCTTGGCGACTGCCTCTTTGAATACGTTAACTTTTGCCAGCGTTTTAACAAGGTTAGTTTCAATTGTTTCTCTATTGCTTTTTGCAACTTTTTCTACAGGTAAAATACCATGCCTGTAATGATCTGCTAATGCACAGTCACCACAAACAACGGTATAATCTTCTTCACAGTAGAATTTCAGTTCATTACCAGGATGCTTTTCACAACCGTTGGTCAATTGAGCAACGGTCTGTGTCACTGCTTGTACATTAGTCTGTACATTTTCTGATGCCTCTCTTTCTGTTTGTCGCTGATTTATTATGTCCTTGGCCTTGCAAAAAGCAAAATTCTTTTTGAATTTAGAAAGTCCACCGGCTGGAAACTGGACATCTTCTCGGCAAACAGGGCACTGAAATGTCCTGTTCCTAGTGATGGTTCTCTTTGCGTGGTCAGATATACAAACAAGGCAAAATGTATGGTAGCATGGCAGCATTCGGGGGTCCTGATACTCTTCCAGACAGATGCTACATGTCAAAATGTTATCCGTGAAAGCTGCTGCCAATGCCCTGGCCATATTATCACTTCATGGATTGGAAAGACATTAGGGCAATAGTAGAGCAATGGCATGTATAGCGCGTATAGACATATATAGACACATATAGCGCGCCCAGTCTCCTTTATAGTGTGGTACACGGTATCTGACCTCAACAGGTGACAATGATCATGTATATATGTTCAGAAACTGTATTATATCAATAGTGATAACATGCACTATATATTAAATATAACTATAAGCACACGTGCCCAGAAAATAGGAGCGACATATTAATGCTTATTTTATTATACATTAACCAGTTTGAACATTTACAGCATTGTTGGTTAAGCATCGTCATCACAGATTCTTTCATGTCAGATGACATTCCTAAAATTTATTTATCCATGTATTATATTGTCATGTTTGATTCTACGTTAACACTCTAACACCCTTAAATTACTAAATTTAACGCAAAAGACCAAGTTAAAGGTCCAATGAAATGTTATGCTTTTAATGGCCAAAAATTGCTTTTGGTTATATGACTTTAATCGAAATTACAAAGTACTGAAAGTTGAACGCGTTGAATTATCTTTCTATGGGAATGTACTCATGGTGACAACTGAATGAAGTGCACGTTATCTGGCCCTTGACTGATTTATGTAGCACGGCTTCACATCAGTTACGTTATTGTTCTTTCCTGACGTTATCATCAGATCATCAGCTTATTAAGTACAAACAACAAATATATGTCCTCTTAATACGTGAGTTATCTGGACTATACAGTGGTAATTTTACAGCGAGTGGGAGGGGGGGTGGATGGCAACATGCCCCTATTTAGAACCTACGGTCCCCTCTGATTCTGCGTCTTTCCTTCAGAAACAGCGCATTAAGTGAATGTGCAAAAACAAATCTTTCACCAGGGGGCGATTCCAGGATTATTTATTATTTGAAGGGTGGTCCGTGGATGCGAATCCAACCCCCCCCCCGCAACTTGGAGTGGGTTTCGGAGCCCGCTGAAGGGCCCCGATCAATTCTGGTATATTAGAGGGCGGACCATGACATTTGGTACGGTTTAAAACTATGATTCAGCTAGTCAAAATTCTAATATCAAGAGGGGTCCAGAAATCGAAGGGGGGGGGGGGGCATTGTTTCGCCACACACACACACACACACACACACACACACACACACTGGGTAAATATGTCGCAGTCAAAATTGACATCCTGACATTTCGGAGTCAAGATTGAAATTAAAACCTTGCCTATGGGCATTTAAAAAATCTTGTCTCCAACGTGATTAAATAGTCACCAGCGTTTCCGTATTCTACTCAACGCCAGGAGGAATTTATTAGACTGATTGCATTCAACGCTCAACGCACGAGTCCCAGCGAAATTATATTAATCTACGTGGAAGGAGGATTTCATTGGGAATGAGCTCTATAAGATTTTATATTCAAAAACCGATTAAAGTGAGAGCAAGAAATCAGATGAAATGTAATTAACGGACCAAGAAAATTTCATGAAATGTGTCTGGAAGTCAAATGATATTTTCGACCCAATCAAGTTCTTGGTTTTTCTTTACTTTTAAAAATAACAAAGTACTTAAGATTGAACAAATGCTTGATGTCGAAATGTTCTCTTGAATACAATTGAGTAAAGTGCATGTTATCTGGTCCTTGACTAATATATGTGACACAGTTTTAGATCAGTTTTAGACCGCTTCTCTTAAAAAGGTGTGGAAAATATTTTGATACATTTTTGCCATATATGCTCTTGGTGAAATGTTTGTCACACCTATAGCCCTGCGTGCTGTGTGTATTTAATCATGAATAAAAGTAAAGCTGTCGCTTTTTACTTTTTTATTGAGAATACGAAATGCCACGAAATGCAACAATCCGCAGTGAGATGTCCATATATTTTATATTCTGTTATATATTAACACAATATCGATATTGTGCAGCAATGCAAACACTTTTAAAAACAAATGTTTCATCAAACAGAAAGTGCTCATTGAAGGATCTTAACTAAATGGAGACGTAATAATTTTGTGCAAAATATCTGTCAATTTATCCGTTTTTCTTTAATAATAATAATGATAATAATAATAATAATCTTATATGGTGCCTCACATGACACCTCAAGGCGCCTTACAATAATGAATAATATAACTTAAGTCATTAAAATGACTACAATATACAGACTTGACATTTAATATGGAATATTTCAGTTTTAAAGGTATACCTAGGTAAAAATGCGTTCTTTATTGAAAAAACTCAGATCTCATATATAATATCTGACTGGAGAAGTATGAAGACAGGCGTGTCTCTACCAATTAACTGATTACCAAGTCTGACGCATTNCAAAAGGCTGTGATAAACATTTAGAAAATAGAACTTGAAGACATATAATGGCAATTTCTTATAATTTTAAGCTTTTTAGGGGGAAATAATCTGTGCCTTTCGTCAGCCGTCCCACAGTTCTCCTGTTCCCAGAGATAGATATAGATACAAAATGTATATTAGGGTGTTTATCATTGACTTTATGTGAGTACATGTATGTACAATGACATGTGATCTGAGACACCGTCTGAATTTGTACATGTACACTGCACTACATCTTACTAAGAAAAAAAGAAAAAAAAAATAAAGGCAAAAAGACAGAAAGCAAGTAAGATATATAGAAAGAATGAATGTAAGAAAAAAATGAAAATATAAGAAGTATCAAGACACAACATATACCTGGACAGTCTTGAATGTTGCACTTCTTTATGTCGTCAGCAGGTCCCACGCACGGCTTGCCGGTTCCGGCCTGAGAGGGATTGCTACATGTCCTTGACCTTATTTGAAAGCCTCCACCACAACTGTCCGTGCACGCGCCATAGGCTGACCAATCGCCCCACTGGCCATCCACGGAAACTGAAATCGAATATCTGACCACCTGACTAGGCAAATCGTGAAGTGTATTTAAAAAGGAGAATTCACCCCAAAGGGATTGGTGATTTTCTAGTGATCTTTGAATTTTGGATTTTGCAGCAAGATATTAGTTTTCGCATTCCATTCATAAACGTTTCATATTGCTTACTATAAGCTACCTCCAAGAAGGGGGGGGGGAGGCTGTGAATGTCAAATAGAAGATACAAGCTTAAAATTTTACACTAAATGAAATATACAAACTATACTAACCAGGACACCTGCCAGTATTACATGACCGGACGTCCAGTCTGGCCAAGCACTTGTCACAACAATCTATCATGGTCCTGGTTTGCACGCCGCCTCCACATGGAATGTCACAAGGACTCCAATCTGACCACTGACACGGACCTAACAACAATGAATATAATCATCATCATCATTATTATTATTATAATCATTATTGTTATTATTTTTTATTATTGTATGGTTCCCCAAGGAGGTTACTGTACGTTATTGAGTTAACTAATTAACTAATCAAAAATAACTCATAATAACTAGAAATGAACTGCCTTAGTTGAAATATGCGATACTGAATGCTTTTCTAGTATTCACTTAGTTTTCAGTGGCGACAGCTGGAAGAGGGGGGTGCGGCAGGCATGTGCCCCCCCCCCCTCCAACCATCTAATTGTCTTCCAGTCTCCTGTGCCCTCCTTTGAATACTGTATACCGATAGAGACCAGACCATGGCCATTTCCATGTCTCCACGCTTTACTTAACCTGTACATCTTACATGTAAATTGCTTTATTATCTAGGGGACTTTGTTATCCTTGTCTACCCTACTCATCCTAAGCAAAAATCTTGATCTGCCAGTGTTTTGCATTCCATTTGAAAACAACAACCTCAATCCCCCCAAAAAGAGATAAATAAATAAAATAAGATATTGACAATATGCAGATTTAAGTCTACAGGGGTACATTAGATAAACCACACGGTACCTGGGCAAGCTTGGGTGTTACACGCTCTCCCTTCAACTTCATCCAAACACCCTTCACAGCAGCCTTTCCTTGTTCTTGTCTGCTTTCCTCCCCCGCAACTGGCGTCACAGGAGGTCCATTGGGACCACGGGCACGGCGCTAGCAACAGATAGTCCGTTTAGATATTACGGTATAATTTCGTGTTAGGATTTCTCAGAGAACACAGGCACAGAAAGAATCACCAATGTATAGGCCTACCAGTCAATGTGAAAAGAATATTCGTCAACAGCACGTAAGTTTTTATAAATGGAATATTTTGCCAAGGTATCTGTCTTTATCTCTTTTAAATTTTCATTTATATATAAACTGAAATTTTCAACGCACATGCACAGAAAACATTAACATCAAAACATCTTGCCCAGTTTTTCATAAGAATATTTAACCTCTCGTCTGTCTTTACTTTTGCATCTTTTAAACTTGAGTAACTGCAAACACTAGCTTATTTAAGGAAGCAATCAATAAAAACGTAAAGATATATGTGAACATATAATGCATCTGTTACTCACCACGAGTAGTGGTCGTAGATATCCGTGGCGTCGTTGTTGTAATGTTGGGTTCTGAAAATAGAATTATATATATATATTAATAGGCGGGACAGTTTAAGCCGGCTAAGCTGACAGTAATCTAGTGAGGCCTCCCACAGGGATAGATCGATCTAAAATCTATGGAAATGGGGTCTAAGTCGCACAAAATTAATACTGATCTATCGGGCACTTACTGGCGCAAGAGGACACGCCGATGTCGTCCACGAGGTTATTGAGGCTGGCGGTGTCCTCTGCGATGAAGACGGAGTTCGGGTCACCCTGTGCAATGACTAGAAGCTCTGTCTTATTGATATTTCCCGCTCCGACAGCGATTGAGCGTATCCCATTGGCTTTCAGCGACTCAGCAGCCTCAGGTACGCTTACAGCGCCTTTAAGTATATGATTTTGATACATCACACAGGTTATTATTATTATTATTACTATTATTAAGTAGTAGTAGCAGTGGTACCGCGGTTTCTTAATTTACCGATGGTAAAACTCGGTAAGTACAGTACATATTTGAAATTCATAGGTCCTAAATGTATTTGTTATAGATGCATCTGTGAGCCTACGTGCGTGTGTATTGCACAAGCGTGCAGCATTACCTAAATCCGGAGTTGCTGATCCGTCAGTCAGCACTAAAACCACTTTTTCAACATTGCGGCCAGAGTTCAGGAGATGTTGCTGACACTCCAGCATGGCGTCCGGTATATTCGTCTGCCCGTCTAGGTAGGGCATGGTCTCCAGTCTGTAGATAATGTGGTTCGTGCTCTGGCTTTCAGTGAAATCAAACCAAGTTCGTATTTTTCTCCCGAACACAACGTTGGCGTAACGGACGGAGATGTCGTCGCCGAAGCTGGCCACGCGGCGAACGAGGTTGGTGGCGAATATCTTTTCGTTTTCCCAGCCCGTCTTTCCGTTGGATTCTTTGTTTTTGAGAGAGCCCGATGCGTCGACGGCAATGCACATATCCAGCGTGCATTCTGAAGAATGAAACCCAAGTTTGTGAATTTGGGATTATATTAATCTTTTAAATAATTTGCTAATTAAAATAATAATAAAGTCAATTATTATTATTATTATTATTATTATTATTATTATTATTATTATTATTATTATTTGTTTCTTTGCAACTAAAACGGTTGAATTAAAAAGTTATAATACAGACTTGACATTTAGTATGGAATATTTCAGTTTTAAAGGTATACCTAGGTAAAAATGCGTTCTTTATTGAAAAAACTCAGATCTCATATCTGACTGGGGAAGTATGAAGAAAAGTGTGTCTCTACCAATTAACTGATTACCAAGTCTGATGCACTGCTGCATTGTTAAATATGTATTGATTTAATTGGGTAGTGCTCCTTTGAGCTGGTCAAAGCTTGGCTTTGGCGAGGCATGGTTCTGTCAAAAAAGTATCCATATGTCGGCAACCATTGCATAGAAGAATTTGAAATTTTGCATGCAAGCGGTCGGTTTTGCAGTGCGTAAAATGAGTTAAGCACTGTTTTTCAAAATCGTTAAACTGTGCCAGAATGGCGCGAAAAAGACAAACATTGCCAGACAGATTATTGCCCCAAAAGGAACGGTCCGCACAGTTTCACAGAGTAATGCCCAGGCTTATGTACCAACACAGACACCACGTCCAATGTATCAATATCTTACCACCAGAATACAGGACTTAATGTCCTTCAGGATATGCTGCTGCAATTAAACCAAAACCACCCAGTCCGTTTTAAATGAGGGGCAAATTGTCACCAAAACGCGTTTTTCAAGGCTCTTAGCGAACAACAAACTGGTTTAAGCAGATAAGAATACCAGCCCACCTCTGAGGAGGCCACTGTAAACAGCAAAACAGCGTAGTCTGTTTCTCTAATGAATTGGGGACCATGACCGTTTCTGGGTAGAACACTAAAACCGCGTTGTTTTCTTTATTGAGGTCAGATTTCACCTGTAACGCTAAATTGGTCAAAAAAGAGTTTACGGACATCTTCAAGAGGCCTACGACAAGATGTGTGCCCCTTCTGAAGTGACTAGGGCCATTGACAGCGTCATAATTTGGACTTGAGATCACATTGGTGCCAAAACACCAATGGAAGTCATCGATTAAAACCTGAACCAGACCNAATGAGGTCAGATTTCACCTGTACCGCTAAATTGGTCAAAAAAGAGTTTACAGACATCCTGAAGAGGCCTACGACAAGGTGTGTGCCACTTCTGAAGTGACTAGGGCCATTGACAGCGTCAATATTTGGAGTTGATACCACATTGGTGCCAAAACACCAATGTAAGTCATCGATGAAAACCTGAACCAGATCAAATAAAGGAATAATCTGGGAACCACTTGACTATCATTTGATAGGGGACACCTTAGGCACAGTTTTAGGTGGCACGATCAGATTGCTGGTTCACACAGAAAACTTTTTATAGCAGATAACTTACAGAACCAAAGGAATAAGCAGCTACCTTGGTCTTCAAAATCGCCATATTTGAACCACTTTGACAATATGTGGTTCGGTCAATAGTCGCCAAATCAACGGCCTGCATGTCCTACAACAAAACTGAACAAATTGGACAAGTTTTAACCGTTGACTGGAATTTTATTCCAGATTAAATTCTGAAAAACTATCGCAAGAAATGCCTTGCCTCTTGAAAGCTCTGGTAGCAGGAAGATAAGGTCAGGCATAGCAGCGACTGTTAATGTGACTAGACACTGACATGAGGGTCCTTTGTGGGTCGTGTAACTCTTTTAAAGACGATAATTTGGAAAATATGGAGATCCAAAATATCGCTTTCAATGGTTGTGGTATGACTTAAAATTGGCAATGCATTTTCGTTTGCTTCACTGGGGAAGTCAATTAAAGAACTGATGTTGCAATGACATGAAACATTTTATCAAAGTTATTAAAACACGATTTTAATCCTTATTTTTATTTATCAGTCTGCAAAATAGGAAAAAAACTGATTAATAATGATTTAGAAAAAACATTCCATATTAAATGTCAAGTCTGTATTTAAATCTAATACACTCATTGGAAACCATTTAAAATAAACACTACCAAAACATTTTTAAAATATATAAAAATTTAAGAGACATAGACAGGTTTTAAAAATGTGAGTTTTAAAAAGGGATTTAAAACTGTCAAAGTCTTCAGCTTTTCTAATAAAATTTGGTAAGGCATTCCATAATTTGGGGGCATAGGTTATAAAAGCCCGATCACCATAACTGTTGAGGCACCCTTTCTCTAAAACAGAATGCTCTAAAATACCCTGTAAGGTCATTCTCAGTATAAAACGTGTGGACCGCCGTGGTGAGTTAAAACAGATAAGATCAGATAAATAGAATGGTCCTTGTGTATTGATCGCCTTAAAAATAATACAAAGTACTTTATAATCAATCCTCTGCTTCACAGGTAGCCAGTGTAATACTTTCAGAATGGGAGTGGTATGGTGTGTACTATTGCACTTTATTTGACAAACCGGTCTTGCAGCTGAGTTTTGAATTACTTGTAATTTTTTTTATCTGATATTCACATATACCAAAGAGGAGACTATTGCAGTAATCTAATATTGATGATATAAATGCATGTACTAATTTTTCAGTGGTTTAGTTATTTAAAACTTTCCTTATTTTTCCAATGCGCCATAGTGCATAAAATGCTGATTTACACACTTCAGATACACGCCTTTCACTCCTTGAAATATAAAGTAACATTTTCTTTCGAGCTAGGCATACTGGGAATCGCAGTTCAGTTTTAATTGACCGCAAGTATAAAATAACACCACGTGCTCCATTTAACCAATCAAATCCGGAGGGAATGTTGGTAAAGGTGCGGCTGTTGGCAGAATGATCTGTAAGAATAATGAAAATCAAATGTTTGATGAGTTAATGGGATAAATGTACCGTATTCAAACGTATCAGTTCACCATTGCATTGGAATTGTTTACACACACACACACACACACACACACACACACACACACTTAAACGGTTTAGAAAAGCTCATCTCATAGGAAATAGGAGAGAAGAGAGTAAACCGATACGAACAGAATCGGTATGACTACAATATCTAGATTGGATTAGATTTACCTGGAATTTCAATATGACAAACATTGCTGTGATTAAAACATTTACATTGTATTTCTTTAAGTATATATGTGTCAACAATCTGGTCCAAATCTATTTTTCTTAGATAAATTTACTTACAGTTGGCAGCAGTCCAATTGTTCTCTAAAAGTAAATTATCAAAAGTAAATAAACGACACTTCTGGTGCTGCTCCACTTCTGCGTAGTTTTATGTACAAAGTATACAAATGTGTCCATTGTTCACAAATATAAAGACACAAATATAATAGACTGTCTCTAAACGGTAACAGTATTCATTATTGTTAAACATATATAAGTATCGGTACGTTTTTTATCATGAAATATATCAGCTAGTGTACAGACATTTATATGTATAATGTCTTACCTTAGGTGGAAATGTAAAGGTCACCTAATGGTAAAAGAGAAATTAAGTTTTTAAAATGCCAGACTGATGAATTAAGATTTTGTTTATACAACTGCAACTTAAAATTTAAAGATGATAAGATGTGTGACTGAAAAAAAAACGTTCATAAAAAATTGAATATAATTGAATCACAGGAAACGAGTGCTCGTTTAAAGTGCATTTTTTTTGCTGTATGACTTACTTTTGGCGGCACCGTCCAGGGTTTAATAGGTTTCTGAAATAAAGAAATGTTGTTCATTTCACAAAAATTACATTTCTTAAACTTGCATGTGTGATTAACTGGATGGAATGCCAAGCATATAGACTTAAATGTGAAAGCTATCGATGCATACTCTGCATGATTTTACCAGTCCATACACAAGAATGTTCGCATACACAAGCGAGGAGGAATGTTTTTTGCCTCATTAATTTATTGAGAAAACGGAAAAGGAGTAAAAATCAACAGCAGTAGGAACAAGAACCAAAACAACATCAACAAACAACAACGACAAGAAAAATAGTAATAGTACAAGCCAATATCACAATGTTTTCTATAGTTAGTTAAAATATGGTTGTATTGAGTTAAGATACATATCTGAATTAATATATGCACCAAGTATCTAACTGATTATGTTCTTATAAGAATGTGGTAACCCAACAAAAGTTATCCAGTTAAATCAGACACAAACACACACACACGGTATTATCAGATATATATTTAAAAAAAACTCACAATGGAACGAATGGTCCATGGCTTGATGGTCACCTAGAAACATAAATAGGAAACTGGTCCATCACCATGTTTCATCAACCGTTCTGTGACCGTTTGGTATTCTGTATTTGATACTTCATGTAAGAGTTTTTATTACCACGTGTCCTGATGTTATTAACCATCTTAATCTTTCTTGTCCATTAGAGTTGTAAAGGATTAGTATTGGCTATAAGAAAACACAAATTGCGCCAGTCCTTGCGATAATTCCTTCTGCCCTAGTCACTCTCATCCGGCGGTTTACCAAAGACATCCACCCCCTCTCATGTTGCAAAGAGTCCTATTCATATATCTTATATGCAGTTCATTTATTTATGCTATAATTAGATGGAAACAAAAGTACATGCAAGTAAACTGGGCAATATTCCTGCATGCACTGAACATACATACAGACATATTGAACGTGATAGCTAATTTTGATACACGTTCATATACACTGTACGTTGTAACATACATGTATTAAGGGCAATATACCTTTGTCACATCGTGAGCAATCGTATACTGTTATATATAATATAGAACATTCATCTATTCATATTCGGGACATCAGCAACCAGTATTCATTATTGTTAATAATAAATAAGTATCGTTACGTTTTTTTTCAAGAAATATATGATATATTATTAGTGTACATACTTTTATATGTATAATGTCTTACCTCAGGTGGAAAAGTAAAGGTCACCTAATGGTAAGAAAGAAATTAAGCTCTTAAAATGCGAAAAGTTTTGCGAAACGTACACGACAATAGCTCCACTTAAAAAACAGTGATGAATGACGATTTTGTTTCTGCAAACTACAACTGAAAATTTAAAGATGACAATATATGTGACTGTACAAAAGTGTTTATCAAAATGACAAACTGAATCACAAGGTACGAGTGGTCGTTTAACGTGCGACTTTTTTTGCGGTATAACTTACTTTTGGTGGCACCGTCCAGGGTTTTATGGGTTTCTGAAATAAATAAAAAAATGTTGTCCATTTCACAAATGTTACATAACTTAAATGCTCTTGTGTGATTATAAATGCATGGAATGCTCAGCATATGGATCTACATGCGAAAGCTACCGGTGTTCTGCACGTTTTTACCAGTTCACATACGAATGGTTGCAAGGACTCGAGGATTTTACCTCATCAAATTATTGAATCAAAAAAGGAAAAAAAAAAAAAAAACACCACCACCACCACCACCACCACCAACAACAACAATATTATTATTATTATTATTATTATTATTATTATTATTATTATTATTATTATACACAGCACAACTTACTATAGAACGTATGGTCCATGGCTTTATGGTCACCTGGAAATATAAATGGGAAACTGATCAACCATTCTGTGACGTACAGAATGGCATTCTATATTTTATACTTTGATTTAAGTTTTTTTTATCGCCATGTATCATGATGTTATATAACCATCTTGGCTTTAAGCATCTTCCACAACGTCTACAACCTACATTGTACCTTTGGAATCGGTGGAAAAGTTCGAATTGTGATCTGCAAAGAATAGAAGGTGAATGCAAAGAAGGTGAATAAAAAGAATGGTAATGCACCAATTGTCTTGCTGTTATTATATTATATTGCAAAAGGTCATGATTAATCATGCACCAGTACAGAAATGAATTGAATTGAATACTGATAAATAAAAATAAATCAATACAAAATGAATAAATAAAGTTATCAGAAATCCTTTCATACATTTAACCCACTCTACATGCTCTCTCATGCCATAAAATCATCATGCAAAGGACTAAAATTTACTTATTTTTCTAAATCCAATTTCCACGTACTTAAACAATTTTCAGGTTCCGATGGACTTCCTATTAGTGACTGTTTCTAAGTCCATTGTTATGTACGAGCTTCTGTTTTGAAGTTTCTCACAAAGGTTTCAGGTTGGAATCCAACTCACCAACTGTTGGGATTGCTACTTTTATGATAATGCATAACGTTGCTTACGGACAAACTGACAAAGTACAACTTTTTGGCGGAGGAAGTTATCACATTGTTGTCCAAACATTGTCTTATAAGGCGCTTCTTTCAAATGAGCTAAGGTGTACTTACCTTTGGGGGGAACGTCCATAGATTTGGACTCGTCTGAAAAAGGAAAACAACCTTCAATTGCCAACCTGTTACAATCGTAATTGGGTGGCAGTTATTTCAAATTAAAATGGTATTCTTATTTTGAAAAGACGAAACAATAACCTTAATGCGATTTAATTCAATAATTGCTACCGGGATATTTGTAATGGATTTTTAAATGATAAAAGAATGTACATTGACAGAAGCAAACATACGTATGTATAAACGTAAACAACAAAAACGAAAAATCGCTTACCTCGCGTTTATTTCGAAGCTGGAATAAATGCATAAATCGAATCTTCCATTGCTTTTGCCCAAGGGTGAGCACTGAAATTAGACATTTGGTTCGAGTGTTATCTGAGATTTCAGCAGCCAATATTTGGATATGTCCACAATGACCAAATGGGGGTCACAGTGGTTCACGTGCCTCTTTAGTTTGGGGGTTGTCCATTTCTCAGTCTTATACATTCCTAATATATATATATATGTGTGTGTGAGTGTGTGTGTGTGTGTATGTGTGTGAGTGTGTGTGATAAGGTTGACCTCGTTTATTATTTTATGTATATATATAAATATGCAACCGGCAATCTTGGATCAGACAGAATTTCCCTGCTAACGTCTACAGTGTGACTCATTGGGGTTTCAATAACATACAGTAACACGGTGATCAGTTTTTTCCATTTATTAAGCCGTCAAAACCAAATGAAATCTCCCCGTGAGACTATAGTTTTTGGATCAAATATTTATAACAAAAATAATGTTTATAAGGCTAACTGCCCAGCTCAGTTTGATGGATTATCAATAAAGCCCACCTGAAGTAAGAGCTTATCACTTGTATATTGAAACAGGGGTATTTGTTACTTATTATTTACAAAAATTGCACTCACAAGTTGAAGGTTTCCGTTCACGGATCACATTGCTCCCAACAAACACCGCTGATGCATAAACCAGCAAAATGATGAAAATCCAAGTTATTTTGATATTCATAAGTAAGGTGAAGCGTAAAAGTCCTATCCGTAAATTTGAATTTCCTTAATAAAAAACTTAATTTCTTCCTTATCACGAATTATTGCTTGGCACGACTTTACACTTAAACTCGATGAAGAGCACGTTATCTGGCCTTGAATTTATTTATGCCACAGTTTTAGATCACTCACGTCCTTCTTTCTAACCTTACATGACGCCCAGCTGATAAAGTCTATAGGCCAAGTCTCTTCTAATACGTGAGCTAATACACGGGAAGAATGGGGGTGGGGGGTGGGGGGGGGTTGGGAGGGGGGGAGTCAACCATATGCCTTCTTTTAGTTTCAGCGGTACTCAGCAGTCATTGTATAAAGTTTATGTAAAGAGAAAATAGCATAATAATAATAATAATAATAATAATAATAATAATAACTACTTCATTCATGTGTCCTACATATTAAAATCACAGTAAAATCCCTTTTGTCTACAATTTCATATTTGCCAAAGGAAGCAATGCAAAAAAATAAATAAATAAAAAATATAAATAAATAAATTTATTAATTAATTAAAAGAATTAAAAAATAAACAAATAAAATAAGAAGAAAAAAATAATAACTTCTGAAAATACAGTTTTATGTCCTCAGGAAAATCCTAATTTCACCGGGTAAGAAAATTTTTTTTTGCCTTTTTTATTAAAGATAAATATCATTAATTAATATTACCAAAATAATCCATCGCCCCCTCCAATTGCCAACACCCTTGGCACAGTTTTAAAACGCTCGCAACCTGGAGCTTTAAAACAAACGAAGAAAACAACAACGCCATAAACTCTAATAGTTGTGACTGAAATAAGTAGTAAATAAGCAACCAAAATAGCAGTTACGCACAGCGATCGTGAGTGTCGATATTTTAACTTACAGGTAGTATCTATTTCTGATTGATCAACGTTGGCAACCGGAAGTTGTTTAGATAGCTGCTATGACTAGTAGAGTAGTTTAGCTTATTGTTTAACTATTTCTGTCATAAAGCCATTAACTAGAGATAAACAACAAGGTATGGGGTAACGCGATGTCACCAAATCGAGTCAAGAGGCCCTCTAGCTTGTTGGGGGGTGGGGGGTGGGGGTGGAAGGAAAGCTTCCTAGCTTACTCCAATTGTCAGCTTTACAGAGACGATGAGCCAGTTAAAGAGAAAAAAACTTAACACTCAACGTTGGTCTTAACGCTTTGACTATAATCTTTCTATCCCCATTACTTAGAGTTCACGATAAAAGTGTTCATGTTCTCTACACTTGTAACAGATAACTTGTGAGTATCGGTCTAAAACAATTGCTTTCTTATTATAAAACTGACACTTCGTGACACATAAAGCGACAACTACTGATACATCTTGGGTCAAATGTTAAGTCTACAATGTACATGTTTAAAGCAGGGTCTTTCGCTCCGACAAAAGATCTTATATGAAACTGACCCTGCTTGAAATTTAATCAATAGGATTAAAAAAAATTGAATGATATGTCTTATATGACGAAACTGGGAGTCTGTGTAACGCTCTCCAAATTCATACAGGTTAGGGCTATCTTGAACGTAAGTGGGTCTTGTACAAATCAATGGGAACCAGGAACTGTATTACATGGACTTTCCCGTACACGACATCAGGTCCAAGAGTGTCACGTACCGGTATAGCTGAAAATAGATTTTATTTCTTTCTCCTCTTTTTGAGACAAGCCCATTTTACGTCACTTTAGAAAATATAGATGGACGAAGTGGCTTGTAAACAGTTCTCAAGTGATCGAATGAAGGTGTTTTCGTATATTTTATGGTTTGATTGTTTTATTGATTAACCATCAAAAGCCATTTGGATGTGATGGGAAGCGTATAAAAGAACGTTGAGAGAATATCTGTATTCGATTGCACCGTTGAGATGACAGCGATCTTCGTATTTACCGTATTGATTGGCCTATTTTGTCGTATTTTGTCTGATCCAGGTAAGACTCTCTCTGTCTCTATGTATCGTTTTTTTTTTTGCATTTCAAAGTTTTTCTTCGACGTTTCATCTCTCTCATTCTCTCTCTCTCCCTGTCTCTCACATTCATAATTAAGTACTCAATCCGTATATCGTATTCGGAATATAAAAAGAGCCAACTTCCAGATTCGTTTATGTTTGTAGACTTTTAGCTATGGTTTCCAAAAGAAAAGGGAATATATATTTTGAAAATAGCTGAAAGCTAATTTGTTATTTTATTGCACAAAAACTTGCCTCAATTTTGACAGTGGGGAATCTTTATTTCAGTCGGACAATGCGACCCAAACCGCATCAGCAACCAGTATCTCCGTGACGACAGCAACGCGTGCGCATTCTACCAATGTGAATATCACGGCACCAGTTATCTTCGACCCACGTTCCACGCATGCGCACCCGGCACAAAGGTGCCAGAAAAGTACGGAGAATCCGCCGCGTATCCGGACTCCTCAAACCCGTGCGTCCTGCGCGTATGGAACCCAGCTGACTGCAGACCCAGGCCGTTTTGGGGCCCGTGGGGGGATTGGAGTGCCTGCTCAAAGACTTGCGGGACAGGGGTTGCCACAAGAGAAAGACAGTGTAATAATGGGCCCGGATGCCAGGGGGCGGGGACCCAGACCCGATCCTGCACCAATTCTCAATCTTGTGAGTATCTATTTTCACACATCTATACCAAATGAAAGCCTGCATCTGGTGAAATTAAGATATTTACTGGTTAACTTAAATCGTGCCTATAAAAATGGACATTTAGACCGCGATATGGGATTCTAGATGGCGATTTATTCAACGGTTTTGGATGCTGTTAACCTTGGCGATAAAGAGAAAATTATGAAATTCCGAAATTCTGCTCTAATGGTCGAAAGTGCATTTTGTGTCTTTACAATATTTCTTGCCTCATATTGGAATTTTGCCAAACTATAGAGGCTTCTAACGGACTCGTGACATTTTACAAGGTGTTTTTTTCATCTGTTTATTGCTGTATACCATTACGATGGGATCTTTTATGATAACCGTAGAGGACGAAGTAAGTATTTTCCAAACAAAAATATTTCCACGAAATGGTTTAAGCATACATTTATTACAGATATATTTTGACTGATAATTAAGACTGGAGATGTACGTTTGTTCCAAAATGAAACACTTATGCTAGAATCCACTTATCGTTTTCTTGCTTAGGTTGCCCACCTGGGTTTGCTGTTTTCGGTAACTCCTGTTATTCGTTTATTACCGTGTCCGGGAGGTCGCCATCTTGGGCGTTGTCCCGGGCAATTTGCCAAAATGCGTCCGCTGACCTCGTTTCCATAGAGACCAGCGAAGAGCACGAGTTTATCAAGACTAACCTAAGACGTAAGTAAATAAATATTTTTACTGTATATGACTGGCAAACTCCTCTCCTCGACAAAGAACAAAATTCTCAAAACAATAAGAGCTCGTTCCGAAACTAAAATGCGAATAAATTTTTTGTCTTCATTTCATCATTAACTTATGTAACTAATGGATTTGGGCTCCGTATTTCGAAAGGTTCGCAATGTTGCGCATGTGCGCAAGTGTCTCGATTCCATAACCGATTCTATTTCGAGATACGGGGCCATGGAATCGAGACGCTTGCGCACGTGCTAAAGTGTCTCGATTCCATGGCCCCGTATCTCGAAATAGAATCGGTTATGGAATCGAGACACTTGCG